TAGAAAAGTAAACTAAATTCATTGGGGTCAAATATAATGGTTAACCTGAAATTAAAAATTTTTGCTACTCCAGTGGACTGTCATCTCTCTTGGTGGCTAGGATTTTGGGTTTCATTAGTTAGCCTCCTCCATAGGTGAGGCATCGAATCTAATGGAGGGTAGAGTTTTGAGAGGAATCCCGTATGAAGTTGAGTATTCTTGGATGTCTTATCTCTGTTAATGATAGACCAGGGAAATGGTTGGCTGCCACATCAGAAAGATGAAATTTGTTCTTGGCCTGAGAATGGGGATGAAGTGGGTAGAAATAAACTAGCCTATTACAACTTAACATTTGGGTAAGAGCTTATACATTAAATTTAAAAACGTTCCAAGCTGGAAATAATCTGTGAACATGAGACTGAAGCAAAAGGAAAATCTGGCTGCCAGAAACACCCTCAACCCAGGCCCATCTAAATCTAAGTGTATAACCCAGGCTGATTTAAATGTGAGTGTGCAATACAATCACAGTACACAGGAAACAGCACTGTAAGTTAGTCATCAGATATAATCACCAAGTGAATATGATCCTTTGGGACTCTAAATGAATATTCAAATAAAAATCATGAAAGAAAAAATTTTAAAAATAATTGAAGACATAAAATACAGAATTAAAACATAAGAAAGGAACAAAATGCCATGAAAAAGGCAGGCAAGTTTTTCTTAATGTTTTATCATGAGACTATTTACACATAGAGAAAAGTTGAAACAATTTTTTTTTAAATTTATACAAGAGCTGGGGTATAGGCCAGGGGAATGTGAGAAGATTCACCAGAGACAGAGTGGGGAGCAGAACAGGCAGACGACTGAAAACAATACTGAGGAGAGCAGCAGGCAAGACAGGAGAGGTCTGCCACACCATGTGGGTATCCCCCTGGCCAGCTGGGAATCAAACCCACACTACAGAGACTGCAGACAGCTTCGCAGTGCTGCGCTCAATGCACTGAACCACCGTGGAAGCAAGTTTTTCTTAATGTTTTATCATGAGACTATTTACACATAAAGAAAAGTTGAAACAATTTTGCAGTGAATACCTAAAATATACTGACAGTAACATTTTGTTACATTTACTTAAAACTTGCCGCATTTATCTATCAAACAGTATATCTTGTTTTTGATGTTTTCAAACTGATTTGACAATATCAGTGCTCTTCAAATTCAAATGATTCACTTTGCATATTATTCAATATAGATGATATCTACAGTGCAAAAAAGCTACATAAGCTATACCCATTCTTGTAAAAAACCATTGTATTATAAATAAAATATTTGTTTATAGGTGTTTTGAAATAAAATTTTGTTTAATTTTTTTCTCATGGAAGGTAAAGTAACTTTAATTAGTGCAAAATGCTGCAATTATATTCAGCTCAAATTTGCAGAGGAAATATGCATGAAATATACAGAGATTTCATTTCACCAGTGTGCTAGCCTCATTCTCCAGGAGGATGTAGTTTTTCATGTAGTGAAATTTATATACAATGGAATTAACACAGTTATAAGCACATCATTTTATACACTCCACGTCAAGTCCTCTGCCTCAATTCAAGAGTCTTTCTCCAAAACCAGGCTTTTGGCCTCAGGTCCTGCTCCCCTCATCTCAGGTTGGAATGCTTTCAGAGGACGATTTAAGGCTCTACATAATCAAGCCAAGTCTCCAGCACACCACAGCAGGTCTTCTCTCCTCTGCCCTGTTTATCTTGAGTGCTATCCATAATAACATATATTCATCCCACATCTACATAATCTGTGTTCACAGACCATGCATGTACTTAGTACATCTGAAAGTACTTGGCTCAGAGAAAGATAGCAGACAACAAAAGAGAAATCTTTAGTTCTGTTACCTAGGTATGTCACTTCATTTGATTTCTCTCTCTTTTTCTCTGTTTTTGTACTCATTGTTTCAAGTTTAGTGATGGGTCTATAATTGAGAACTCTCATTTCCTTGGCTCATCTTTTTGACTCATGGTATAGACTAACATGTATTAATCATTAATGATATATTTTATTTTCCTCCCATTGATATTCTGCAAACTTCCCTTGATTCCGAGGTAAGTCGTTGCTTGTCTTTGGATTGTGATGTTATTGTGAAGTCTTGTTTCCTATTTGTTTGTCTACATAGATAAAAGGAAATCGTATAAGGCATTGGTTTTGAATTTGTTAATTATCTACATCTTATCTGATGTAGATAATTAAGCTCCATATTATGGCAGAAGTGATGTTATACAGTTCTGGACTAGGCCCTATAAGGCCTAGAAATTTCTTTATTTTTCAGGAACTCATTTGCCATGCTGTAAGGAAACTCAGACTATCCTGTTGGCAAGAGAAGTCTCTTGAAGAAGCTCTGGAAGGACAGATGCCACGTGGAGGATACTCCATCCTTCCTGGGTTGTCTAATCCACAGGGATAGCAGCCTCATGGAGCAGAAGAAGGACTAAACCATCCATAGACTCTCGCTCAATCATTGTGATTGTTTTAAATCACTAAACATTAAGGAAGTTTGTTACACAGAAGTTGGTCACTGAAACACTCAGGTAGTTTGTATGTTCTTCATTACGTAACCGTCAAATGATAAGACAGTGTGTGTAGAATTTTATGAGGGGAAGCTTTTTTTCTTGTCACTAGTGCTGTCTCTACTCCACTTGTATATCTGTCAGATTTTAATTTCAGTCTGCTTTGAACAGGCTTATCCTACTATCTTCCCTTATTTTTGAACATACACATTCCCAGTTTTCAGGCCGGAATGATTTTGTCTCATGCTTTGAATTCGTGTGGGCTTTGGGAATAAATTTTTTCTCAGAGAGCCTAAAAACAATTATATTGCTTATGGATTCAGGCTATGTGATATTCGTAGATATTCACAGCAGTGCATTCACAGCATTTACTGGGAATAACATTGTTAAGATCTAACGATGATCTCTTTAAAACATTTATTTGGAAAAATCTGCAGGTTTAGGGGGACGATATAATGGCAGAATAATTGCTAAGTCACTATGAAGGCATTGCTCTATTTAACGTGTGCAATTTTGCACAAGCCAAGTGGAACTAATCAAAATATTGAAGGTAGGTTTTTGCTGCCAGCACTCCCCCAGCATTTACCAGTCTAGCTGTTTACAAGGCCAAAAATATGACTTTATATATTGTGAGTGAATTGGATTTTTAAAATAATAAACTATGGTTGAATTAAGCAATAATTCCTTCTAAAGAGAACTATTAGGTAGTGATGTTTGCAGCTATTAAGTCCTTATTGCAACTGCCTCTGGGCCAGCAAGAGTACCACAGGCAAAGGCTTAAGGGATTCTATCATTATTTAACCTATTTTTGATGCATTTACATTTTGATATGTTTTTAAGCATTTACCTGTTTTTCACAGAGAATTCCTGAGCCACAGGTGTGTGGATACTGGAACTAGTAACCCCCTGAGTCTTTGTTGCCTGTCCTTCTTGTTGTGATTTCTCTCAGGTGCTCAATGCTTGCCAAGGTTGCCCTTGACCCCCTAATGGCTGCCATTCACATCTCCCTCTCAGTCTCTTTTCTTTCTTTTAGAAAATATTCTGGAATAGTCCAGCAAAATTCAGCTGTCCTTTCACTTGGAGTGGGCAGTCCTCTGAGATAATCAGAAATGAGAGTAATGTGTTACCCAAATGCATATCACTGGGGATGGAATTTTTAGGCTACTGGAAAAATATTTTTAGACAAAAGACTACTTTTCTTCTAAATTAAAGTCAAATTATCTGTGGCTTCCTAGAGGAGAACTATTACAGCTTAGAGATGGATTTATCAGGAACACTGGGTTTTTTATCAGCTCCATGTCTCTTGAACACAGAAGTGATTTCAAAGGTAAGATATAGTAAAGGAGAAATAGAAAAATAGGTCAAAATCACCTTTCTCTTGCTTTTATATCAGGCAAGGAATCACCTTCAGGAACAGGGATGTAGATCCAGGTGTGCAATTACAGAGAAGAGGAGCAGCTGACAAGGTAAAATAAAGGCAGAACCAAATGATTGGGAGACAGAGCCGGAGATGGAGCGGTGCTGCAGGCTGGGTCTCTTGGGAGAGGGGCATGTGATTTTTGCAGTTTCAGTGACTACACATTTATAGTAATATTATAGACAAAGATCCAGTTATATTAATAATGCTTGTCCCATGTCTCCAGGGGGTTATATTCCAATGTGCTTGCTTTATAAAATGTAACAAAGTGTAATACGTTTTTAAGATTTAATTGTAATTGGTTAACACACACACACACAAATCACTGCTAAAGGAAATAAAGCTAGAATTATTTGGGAAAATTTCTTGTTCCGCTCACTCCCTAAAAGTGCTAGATGCGTGTGTGCACTTGCACACACATAACATACACACAGCAATATACATCCTAACAAAGAAATATTGCTGGGTCTTTGAACATTCCATTTGGATCAGTTCTGTTTATTTTATTATTATTTTAAAAAATATTTATTTATTTATTCATACAAGCACGGGATACAGTCAGAAGCAAGGGAGGGTGAGAGAATTCACCAGAGGCAGAACAGGGAACAGAACAGGCAGATGGACAAAATACACTGCTGAGGGAGCAGGAGAGGTATGCACGCCATGTGGGACCCTCGTCGGTGGCCGGGGATCGAACTGGCGCTGCAGAGGCTGTGGACAGCTTTGCAACCCAGCGCTCAACTGCTGCGCCACCAGGGGAGGCCCTGGATCAGTTCTGTTTATCTGAGGATTATCTGACTTGCAATTTGCAAATTTTCTAGTAATTCTCTGTGAGTTCTCACTGCCACTTGTTTGTCCTATGGGAGTCCCTTTATCCTGCCCTTTCCCTCCCACCTGCAGGCCACCTGGCTGGGTCCATGGCTGCTGGGGCCTATTACCATCACCCAATGTCATAATGGCTTGATGCAATGGGATAAAAATCACACAAACACCTTCTAGTCACCAGTGAGCTGGCCTGAGGGAGGAAAGGTATAAAGGGCTGGAGGAAGATGCAGTGGAGAAAGTCGGCTAGAGCTGAAGACATTGCATTGACTTCAAGTAGCTTAATGGAACATTGGTATATTTATTTTATGGCTTTATTTTTCTGTTTTAGGGATAATGACTCTTCAACATCACTAATATTGTGTAAGTTGAAGTCTGAAGTAAGAGCTTGGAGAGTGGGTGAGAATTTTTCTTTACAACCACTGGTATGGGTATGCACATTTAATAATGAACTGTTGGGAAAATTGCTCTGATAATCTTAAACAAGAGAATCATTATGCAGAAATTATTGTGATTTTTTTCTACAAAGGAGAATCTTGAGTTAAAGTAGGCTAATCAGCCGAATTTAGTGACATATCTGTTGTTTGCATTATATCTTGGAGACACTTAGAGGAAAAATTGCATATTTTAATAGAGCCTGAATTTTTTTGAAAAGGCTATTGATCATCTCCTTTGGGCCTTGGGAGAGGGACCAGGATCTCTGGATGCTGAGGAATAGCTAAACACTTCAACTCAATTTCACTTTAGACTCCATCATTTTCTTACCCCCATGAAAGGCAATTCTGTCTAAAACCTCGGAGTAAATAGGTTAACACTGAAAGAAAAGTCATGCCAAAATCTTCATATTAAACATTTTCTTCAACTCCAATTTTCAAAAACACTAAATCTAAAAAAAAAAAAAGAGACTGTTTTCTGGGATCTTTAAAAAATAAATTGTTTCCAAATAAAGAACATATTAAATTTTGAGTTTCTTCTAATTAGCAAGTGTTTATATTGTTAAAACATTACAGGTGTTAGCATTAATATCCATGAAAGAAAATTTCCAATTGCCTGGAAGTTTTTTCTTATCTTTGCTGGGGTAAGAAAATAGCAAGGCATTATTGGCCAGAGACAGGAGTTTTTTTTGTACTGATATATTCTTGGTTGGAGCAGCTGTATTTATGACCACATCCCTTTACCTCATACATAGTAGGAAGACTTTGCTGTGAAGGGGAAATAACTAGTTTTATTCATCAGTTGCATGATGCTATAGAGAAAGCCTTTGTTTTGAGATTTATGTGGGAACCTCAATTAACAGAAACCCTTTTAAAAGATTCTTGGAAGTAGAATTGTAACACCTGTTGGGTAACTGGGCCACTTTCACCTTTTTAACTCAGCACATCTGTTTTCATCTACTGCCTTTTGTTAAATTTTTCTATTTTAGCATTTTCTTATATATTGAACAGTTTTCATGCACTATAATTTACTTTATCTTTGTTTATCAATTTCTTCATTTTAAGGGCTCTTCTTCAGATTATTATAGATGATTGTTTTAAAGTTCTATGCATGTGCTCAATATGAGCTCTAATCTTTACTGATGACTGTAGGGTCAGGAAGACCACAGTGCAGGTTTTCTAGGATCCAACAGACCAGGTAAAGGAGAAGTCAGAGTCCTCAGTGGTTTTGCAGATTTTTATTGGGATTACCAGGTACACAGCAGGCAGAGGTGCTGGGGGGCTGAGGGGCTGGGGCCCCCAGCAGGTCTTCACTCTATGGGCTCTCCAGCCTTCTCTCGGCTTCTCCTTCTCTTGCTTCTCTCTCGCCTTCTGCTGAGGTCCCCGTGATGCCACCCTTAAAAGCCCAGTCTTAGCCCAGGTGAATCCCATCTACCTATGCCCTACACCCTACCTATGCCCTACCTATGGCCGACACCCTACTCCAGGTGTACGCTATCAGGCATGCATTCAGGACTGCAAAGATCCATCATCTGTCCTGATGGCTGGAGGGTAGAAAAGCCTGACATTTTTCCTTACCCTACATGACACACAGTTTCTTTGAATTTTCTGTTTTAGTTAGGGTTATGTTCAAAGACATAAAGAGAAAATCCTAAATAACAGTGGCTTTCCAGAAGACAGAAGCTGACCTGACTTCCCTCTTCCGTCAGAGAAACCCACAGGCAGCTTCTAAGGTGGTACACTATGACTGAGGCCCAGGCTCCATTCTTTCTGCTGCTTATGGTACTGTGTGCTTTCCTTGTTCCTGGACAGACTCCTGTCCAACATGGTAGCTGCAGCTCCAACTTGGAAAAGCAATAAAATTATTTTGAAAAAGGAGCATCTCCCAGCAGATTAACTATTTCAAGCAACTCTCCAGAAGTCCCACACAGCTCTTGTGCTTACACTCATTGATCAAAACACAGTTACTTGACTGCAACTGGCTGCCATGTGGATTAGTAAATACAGTCTTGTGTTCTAGGGGGACAATGTGCCCATTGAAAACTAGGGCTCTGTGACTAAGCAGAAAAGGGAGACGTAATGCTGGCATAAAAAGCTAACAGTGTCTGCTGCTTATTTGTGCTGTGTATTCTAAATGTATTAATTTTTATTTTAAATTTATAAGTACTTTAAATTTTGCTTCACCATTTAAAACTATTTTACTACTATGAAGAACTATTTTTATTATATTCTACTTTTATTTTACTATTTATCCTTTTTCTTGATTTTTCAGTACATAGACTTTTTCCCAAATTTACTGAGATATAATTGACATATAAGACTGTATAAGTTTAAGGTGTATGACATAATTATTTGATATATTTTGCAAAATGGTTTCTGCAATAAATTTATTTAACCTCCTTCATTTTTAGACTTTATTTAGATATTATTGTGATTAGTATCTTCGATTTCTTATGAAGTTTCTACTTTTCTAGTTAAATGAAGTTTAGGAAGGACAGAAATAATGGGAACATCTAAGATGGGAATTTTAAACAGGAGAAGTAGGATGATATATCCATTAGTTGAGTTTGAGTTATTATTTGCATTCCCTTAACACTTTCTCTCCTGTCAATGCTGAAACCTCTTAGGCTAAGATTTTTACCTGAATAACCCAGGAGCCCCTCAGGTTTAATGTTTCCTCCCAACATCTCCCAGGATAACTATATTTCTATCTTTATTAATAACACATTTGAGCTGTTGCAGCAAAACTTTCTTTTACATCCATCTAAAAATTCATGTAATTTGGATAAATAAATAGCACTCTCTAGAGTGTACTAATATTTTTGCTCATAACCTTCACTTTTGTTGTACACACATTTTTAATTGGCCAAATAATCAGAAATGTGAACATTATTCTTTGGGTTTTATTGGAAAGCCCTGAGAACTGCTACTACAGATCATCCCTATGTATATTTAATAAGGAAACCAAAAATATCACCTGAGAATTGACTTGGATATTTTATCTACTGGCACATGCCAGCTTGTGTGGCACGGTTGCATATCTAATGTGACTTTTAGAGAAAAGAAAGGAACTATTTAGATCATTAGCAATTGAAGTAAATTTTTGATGTTGATAATTATTGACAGATGACCTTGACACCTGCTGGGTCTCCATGAGCTTGACTGGCTATGATTGTCTGTGTTAACATCAATATAGTGTCTTTTATGTTATTTCCTCATAAAGGGAATAAAAAAGACTTTAGAAAATAGGTCCAGTTTTATTCAGTGATTAAAATTTTATGTTATAGGATGTATCTTATATTTTGGTATTAATAGATTATGAGAACATACTTGCCTATATATTTTAAGTTTTTTATTAAGGGCTATTTATATATTATTAGGAGGTTACCATGTACTACTATGGGAATAAGATATATTACTCAGTCAAAATCATACTTAGAAATAGATTCAGATTCATAATATTTGATAAGTGATAGGATATGTATAAGTACAATATGGTACAGAAGCCACTAGAAGGGGACTTGTTCAAGAAGGGTACAAAGAGAGTTGCCTAAGAAGACTTTCCCAAGGAGGGGAATTTTTTTTTTAAGATTTATTTATTTATGCATACAAGAACTGGGGACAGGCCAGAGGTGAGGGGAATGAGAGGATTCACCAGAGACAGAGTGGGGAGCAGAACAGGCAGATGTACTGAAATACACTGCTGAGAGGAGCAGAGGAGTCAGGAGAGGTCTGTGTGCCAAGTGTGTAGCTCCTTGGCTGGGGATCACACTCGTGCTTCAATGGCTGCAGAAAGCTTCATAGGTTGCGCCTTAAACCCTTGTGCCACCAGGGAGGTCCTGGAGGGGACATTTTATATGAAATCTGAAGAATGAGTGAAAAATAGCAAGGTGAAGAAAGTGGAATGGCAGAAAAGTTGAGAGAAAGGAATTACAGCTACATAGTAAGAAAGAGCTGTTGCGTTTGCAGGGTGTAAATTATGAGTATTAATGGGAGAGAGACGGGAAAAAGGGCTGGAGAAAGCAGGGGCAGGACACTTTTAAAAGGGGAGTCTTTTCTGGCATTGTTGCCTGTTAAAAATTGTGCCCTGAAAGAATACACACAGAGATGTGCCTCACGGACAGGCTTTAACACTAATGCTTACATGCAGGGAACATCATAAACATTTGACAAATACTTAACTAAAGTTCCATTAAATGCTTGGAGCTCTGCTTAGTCCTGGAAACACAGCACGCACAACTTTTTAAACTTTTTATTGGAGGCTTATTGGCTTATAATATTAGGTTTACAACAACATAATTCATTATGATCATCACCCAAACTGCAGTTACCATACACCATAGGCATAATCTTTTTACCTGCTTATACCCTCCCCCCTCAGGTAACCAATATTTTGTTCTATAAGAGTTCTGATTTGGTTGGTTTCCTTTGTTCATTACTTGTGTTTCTTTATCTTCATATTTAAATGAAATTGTGCTGTTTGATCAGATTCACCTTTTATTTTCTAAGAGCTGGTGGCATGGCAAGAACGGGAGCTGAGGTGGAGCTGTTTTTCAATTATTGGATGATGCCATTGTTATCTGTAGGGAGAAAACCTGAACTGCTTTTTTAATTGGTTGAGAGATTTGCTATCCAAACTCATTAACCCAAGATAGCCTGTGACCAAAGGCATGTTTTTTTTTTTTTTTAAATCTTTATTTATTTATGCATACAGGAGCTGGGATACAAGCCCAAAGGCATGGTTTTAAGGGGTGGTTGTACTTTGTGACAAGGATAAAGCAAGCATACCTGCTTAAGAAGAACAGATGCTGCCCTGTGGCACTTGTTGCCAGCATATTCTATTCAAATGAGCTAGCCAGAGTCAAACACAGTATCAGCTAACAGGTGTGCATAACTTAACTTTCAAGTTAGAAAGAAACTTTATGATCA